CTAGGAAAGTAGCCAGCTAAAGGGCTGAAATGGAAGTGATAAACATCTTCCACAAACCACCTTCACCTTCCAACATACATTAGAAGGAAGTGTGCTGGGAAGTACTGTGGAGTCACCTACACGGGAAGGTATCCGACTCCTGTTACTGAGGGTTCACACACTGTCCTTTCAAGCACTGAACTCCTCAACTGATTCACCCCTCACCCACCACTGCAGACATTGTCTAAACGTCTAAAGTCTCCTTTGATATCAAAGAAAATCTTATTTTCTTTAACAGGGAGCAAAGGACCAGGGCAGAAAACTATACGGCTCTTTTCCACATTGGTTCACGGAGGTTTCAGAGAAGTGGTAAAAAGAACACAAAGAGTATTTTATTTCACTTTCATAACATGGTTCTGCTTTCCACATTCCAGAGGAAACACAGAGTTCTCCATTCTCAGTTAAGACAGGTTTGTGCTTTATTTTCAGGTAATATTGTCTCTTTCTTCCTTGAAAGTTATTCAGGTTTTGTTTAGTTCTTTTAAAACAAATCGCTTCGCAACTACAATAAAACAAACCCAAGCATACCAAAGCACACAGCCTTCCATCCTCTGCCTAGAAGCACATAAATGTACATTTCATTTTATTTACTTTCCTGTCCTTTGCTCCTCCTGAAAGAAAAAAAGATTTCCTTGATTTCATATCGAAGTCTATTTTAGAGCTCTCAAGCAGTATACGAAACGGCAGGAAAAAATTTCAACAATTAAATTCAATCTGTGAACCAGCAGCAGCAGAGTAGAGCAGAAGGTGGTGTTGGACAGACTGAAAAATTACCAGTGTTTCTCATCCACTTAGATGTTCAACAGTGAACCAAAAACCAAAAACAATGGCGAGAAAGAAGCATCAAGCACAATCAACAAGTGGTAAGTCGAACCCTGGTAAGTATCTAGGCAAGTTTGTCTGCTACAAGCCCCTACAAGGCTTTTCACTTGCCAAGAATTTCACAGACCAGGGAAAAGACAGCTCTTTCAGACCTGGGGACCTCCAAGACAGCCTGTCTCAAAAGCTGATACTCAACCACAGCCCAGTTCCTGGCACTGTGTAAGGAACAGATAGGGCAGTTACATCAGGTATCTGTTCTGAGAGGAAGTGCCCATCCAAATTACGCTGCTTTGGCTTCGGCCAAGACACATACATAAGCACAGCAAAAGGTACCACTCCGACTGTTTCGGTAAGATACTTCGTCCTCCTTCGCTGAGCCCAACAGCCTGCAAGAGCAGACTATGCTGTAAGCAGAGTAAAGGCTAGACTTTACCCTTGTTTTTCCTCTTTATTTAGAAAATTACACCTAAGTCCACCAACATACAAAAAAAAAAAATCTGTGTTTATATATATAAAATAACTCTAACATCTGTTCAAAAAACCAAAATGGCCATTTATCCCTTCTTTCTTCCTCCTTCTGTGCCTCACCAATACTCCCCTCCAAAGAAGGAACAGTCTTTTGTTTAACCAAGCCTTCCTTTAGAACTCATTACTTCTGACATGAGGATCCTTCCTTCCACATCACTAAGTAATGATATCTACCTTTTGCAGTGTGAGGCATCAGGAATAAGAGAGCAGTTTACTTTTCCAAAGCTAAGCAAGTTGTTCATTAACTCCTCAACTTCTCCAAGATAATGCACACAAGCAGACTAACAGAAATTCATTTGTATACGGATCGGAGAAAGAGGTAGGTTTTTCCCCCTCCCTTTGCACATCCACACAGGTATTCTGAGAAATCCAATGCAAGTTTTTACTTCTCCAAGTGGCCACCCCACTATTCTTTCTGAATGCTTAGCTCGGAAGGTTGAACACGTCCAGTTTGCTTCACTGCACTGGTACAGTCTTCACGGCACTGGTTTTGAGATCACAAAGTAAATCTAGCCACAACCGTTCAGAGTATTTCTAGCACTACAGTTCTGCTTGCCGTGTTCAAGGTCTGTAGGTTCCATTCAGTCTAGTCAGATGGGCAAACCCAAATCTCTTGCTTGCCTTCTCAGCCTTCTTTGGTTTCACTCGCAATGCCTCTACCACCACCACGACACTTACCAGAACTTCTCAGGGTGGAATACCTTCCTGCTATTTATCAAGTATTTCCAGTGTATAATTACAAGAAGTGCACCCAACACACGGTAGCTAAGGCCCATTTGGAATTCAGTAAACTATTATCTCAAAATCACTCTAGGTAACAATTTATGATTTGCCTTGGCAGGCCGCTAAGCCAAAGTGCTCTGAATTTGTGATCCAGCTTTATTTCAGAGAACAAAGTTACCAGCTAATCTTCAAGACTGAATTACTTCCACCGGCCCTCCAGTGGCTTAGAAAATAATGTTGTTATTCTAATGTGTTTTGTTGTTTGGTTCTATTCAGGTTCCTTTTGTTGGTTTGTTGGTTTTTTAAACCTTATGCAATACCTTCTTATATACTGAAGGAAGAGCACTAACACATGCAAAGTTTTATTTCCATTCACACATTTTACAGGCTTCTGACTGTGTGGCAAGTTGAACCACCCTATGCCTTTCCACCCATCTCCACAAGAACTCTTGTCAGTGCCTCTTTTTCCACACACACACTTGCACAGTACCATGCTACCCAGCTGTACTCGACTGCTGCTGGTAGTAGTGGCCTTAGAATGAGTAGTGGGGAGGGACTTACACTGGTCACTCGACGGTAGATCTGAGCAGCATTTTGGCACTCGGAATAAGGATACTCAGACGTGGCCATCTCTAGCATACACATCCCAAAAGCATATACATCAACGGATTCATCATATTTCTCCTCATACATCTCAGGGGCCATGAACTCTGGTGTACCTTAAATTAAAAGAACGATTCAGACTCTAAATGTCTCAAAGCGAGCAGAGGCTGCTGGCGTTACTCACCGCAGGAGGAAGCGGATGGGCAGACCTGTGAGACATGAGAAAGTGGAGGCAAAAAGAGGGAGGAAACCCTTAGTCACTCTGTTGCGTCAACACACTTTATGAGTCTTCCATTGCAAGGCCTTTATGAAGTAAGAATGGCATGAAAGGACTGATGCAACTCCTGGTCTATGTGTTAATGTCGGTATCAAAACAGACCGGATCAGGCTGGAGTCAAATGCAGGGAAGAGGATAAGAAGAGGGGTGTTTCTCATCCACTTAGATGTTCAACAGTGAACCAAAAACCAAAAACAATGGCGAGAAAGAAGCATCAAGCACAATCAACAAGTGGTAAGTCGAACCCTGGTAAGTATCTAGGCAAGTTTGTCTGCTACAAGCCCCTACAAGGCTTTTCACTTGCCAAGAATTTCACAGACCAGGGAAAAGACAGCTCTTTCAGACCTGGGGACCTCCAAGACAGCCTGTCTCAAAAGCTGATACTCAACCACAGCCCAGTTCCTGGCACTGTGTAAGGAACAGATAGGGCAGTTACATCAGGTATCTGTTCTGAGAGGAAGTGCCCATCCAAATTACGCTGCTTTGGCTTCGGCCAAGACACATACATAAGCACAGCAAAAGGTACCACTCCGACTGTTTCGGTAAGATACTTCGTCCTCCTTCGCTGAGCCCAACAGCCTGCAAGAGCAGACTATGCTGTAAGCAGAGTAAAGGCTAGACTTTACCCTTGTTTTTCCTCTTTATTTAGAAAATTACACCTAAGTCCACCAACACGCAAAAAAAAAAAAATATCTGTGTTTATATATATAAAATTACTCTAACATCTGTTCAAAAAACCAAAATGGGCATTTATCCCTTCTTTCTTCCTCCTTCTGTGCCTCACCAATACTCCCCTCCAAAGAAGGAACAGTCTTTTGTTTAACCAAGACTTCCTTTAGAACTCATTACTTCTGACATGAGGATCCTTCCTTCCACATCACTAAGTAATGATATCTACCTTTTGCAGTGTGAGGCATCAGGAATAAGAGAGCAGTTTACTTTTCCAAAGCTAAGCAAGTTGTTCATTAACTCCTCAACTTCTCCAAGATAATGCACACAAGCAGACTAGCAGAAATTCATTTGTATACGGATCGGAGAAAGAGGTAGGTTTTTCCCCCTCCCTTTGCACATCCACACAGGTATTCTGAGAAATCCAATGCAAGTTTTTACTTCTCCAAGTGGCCACCCCACTATTCTTTCTGAATGCTTAGCTCGGAAGGTTGAACACGTCCAGTTTGCTTCACTGCACTGGTACAGTCTTCACGGCACTGGTTTTGAGATCACAAAGTAAATCTAGCCACAACCGTTCTGAGTATTTCTAGCACTACAGTTCTGCTTGCCGTGTTCAAGGTCTGTAGGTTCCATTCAGTCTAGTCAGATGGGCAAACCCAAATCTCTTGCTTGCCTTCTCAGCCTTCTTTGGTTTCACTCGCAATGCCTCTACCACCACCACGACACTTACCAGAACTTCTCAGGGTGGAATACCTTCCTGCTATTTATCAAGTATTTCCAGTGTATAATTACAAGAAGTGCACCCAACACACGGTAGCTAAGGCCCATTTGGAATTCAGTAAACTATTATCTCAAAATCACTCTAGGTAACAATTTATGATTTGCCTTGGCAGGCCGCTAAGCCAAAGTGCTCTGAATTTGTGATCCAGCTTTATTTCAGAGAACAAAGTTACCAGCTAATCTTCAAGACTGAATTACTTCCACCGGCCCTCCAGTGGCTTAGAAAATAATGTTGTTATTCTAATGTGTTTTGTTGTTTGGTTCTATTCAGGTTCCTTTTGTTGGTTTGTTGGTTTTTTAAACCTTATGCAATACCTTCTTATATACTGAAGGAAGAGCACTAACACATGCAAAGTTTTATTTCCATTCACACATTTTACAGGCTTCTGACTGTGTGGCAAGTTGAACCACCCTATGCCTTTCCACCCATCTCCACAAGAACTCTTGTCAGTGCCTCTTTTTCCACACACACACTTGCACAGTACCATGCTACCCAGCTGTACTCGACTGCTGCTGGTAGTAGTGGCCTTAGAATGAGTAGTGGGGAGGGACTTACACTGGTCACTCGACGGTAGATCTGAGCAGCATTTTGGCACTCGGAATAAGGATACTCAGACGTGGCCATCTCTAGCATACACATCCCAAAAGCATATACATCAACGGATTCATCATATTTCTCCTCATACATCTCAGGGGCCATGAACTCTGGTGTACCTTAAATTAAAAGAACGATTCAGACTCTAAATGTCTCAAAGCGAGCAGAGGCTGCTGGCGTTACTCACCGCAGGAGGAAGCGGATGGGCAGACCTGTGAGACATGAGAAAGTGGAGGCAAAAAGAGGGAGGAAACCCTTAGTCACTCTGTTGCGTCAACACACTTTATGAGTCTTCCATTGCAAGGCCTTTATGAAGTAAGAATGGCATGAAAGGACTGATGCAACTCCTGGTCTATGTGTTAATGTCGGTATCAAAACAGACCGGATCAGGCTGGAGTCAAATGCAGGGAAGAGGATAAGAAGAGGGGAAAACCATAGACTAGCCATAGGCTGCAAACCAAATACTAAGGAGAGTTAAGACACTTACCTTTTCCCCCTGTAAGAAAGGAGGCACATTAAACCTTGTTTCAAAAATTACCCGACTGCCCTCTGCTGCAAAAGAAGTAGTACTGGTAAGAGCCCACAGCTAGTCTCTGACCTGGTGCTCTCCATCTGCTTCTTGAAGTAGAATGGTTTGGGAAAGGCCTTGCAATGAAAAACTCTGTTATAAATCTTCATGAAAAAAGGATAAAAAGTAATTTTCTGCAAAGGCCACTCACCAGAGCCCTTTTCTTCATATACTTACCTTCCCACCTGCAGTATATTTATAGGCCTACTGCAGATACAGGCATTAGTGAGGGACATCCTACAGTCAAAAATACTCAGAAATACAGAGAGATTGAGTTACAGGCATAGAGCGTGAGATTCAACAAGTCCCATTTAAATAGCATGCCCAGTGAAGCACCACAGCGTCCCCTCGCTACGCTAAGGGACTGCATTGTATTATCAGATTTACTTTAAGCCAGAGATGCAAGTTTGCTTTTTGTAAATTTAAGCACAGAATTATTTCCTGCAGACACCACAGTCAAGACAATTTACAGATCCTTCTATAGCCACATTGCTTGCTTTCACCACACAAAGCCAGAAAAAGAGAATGTAACTGCAGTCATTTATCCAAAGGCTAAATGTTAACAGACAGCTAGATATGAATCGGTAGTTTTCCAATGATAAATCTGAGGATAAGACGAGTATGCTTAAGAAAATATATTTTTCTGATGCTGTATACTTTTCTTTCTTATTGAAACTTAGGCTTGGTTAAGAAGCAGGAAATACTTCAGTGACAGCTCGCAAGACAATTTAAAGATATACACCACTGATCCCATCTCGGAATTGAGTATAGGACTGTTGAGTAATGCTGCATTTTAGCAAGCTCTAAATACTGAGAGTGAGCACAGCTTCATTACCTGCAGTCTATTCACCCAACTATAATAACAAAGTTGATAAAACCAATTCTTTCAAAAATTCAGCAGAAAGATTATACTAGTTCCATCAAACCAATTTCTGAAAAGGGTTATTAGTGGATAATCAACAACACAGCCA